GTCCCGGGGGACACGGGGCAGGCCCCAACCCCCCCGCCGGTGTTCCCCCCCCCTCTCCCTTAGCCGCAGGAGCCGAGCGGATCCGGGGGGGCCGCCGGCCAGGATGGAGGGACGCGGGGAGGCCGAGGTGGAGGAGGAGGAAGAGGATGAGGAAGAGGAGGAGGAGGAGGAGGGGGTGCGGATCACCCCCCAGCTGCTGAAGGCCAGCACCGGGGAGTTCGCCCTGGAGTCCATCCTGCTGCTGAAGCTGCGGGGCCGCGGCATCGCCCACCTGGGCTGCCTGGGCGACTGCGCCAACCTGGAGTGGCTGGACCTCTCCGGCAACGCCATCGCCCAGCTGGGACCGCTGGCCGCCCTCAAGTCCCTCGCCGTCCTCAACCTCTCCCGCAACCGCGTCGCCAGCCTGGAGCCGCTTGGCTCCTGCCACAACCTCCAGAGCCTCAACGTCGCCGGTAACCTGGTGAGCAGCCTGCAGCAGCTGCGCTGCCTGACGGGGCTGCGGCGCCTGGAGAGCCTGCGCCTGCGAGACCCCCTCGCCCGCCTCGCCAACCCTCTCTGCGCCGCCCCGGCTTACCGTGCCGCCTTGGCGGACATGTTCCCCGGCCTCAAAGCCATCGACGGCGAGCGGGTGTCCGGTCGCGGCAGCGAGCTCTACCAGCTCTGCCGGGATCTCGACAGCTCGCTGGGACGCGGCGGCGGCGCCGGTACTGGTACCGAACCACCCCGCGCGGCTCAGCCCTGGGTGGAGGCGAGTTTCTGGGAGCCGCGGCCGCCCCGGCGCAGCTCCATCATGGAGGAGGCCTACAAGCAGTTCGGGGAGGTGCTGCAGGAGTGCCGGGAGCTGAGCCGCCGCGCCGACGACACCATCGCCCAGGCGGAGCGGACGCTGAGCGGCCGACCTGACCCCAACTCCTTTGTCTTCTGAGCCGCGAGACCCCCTGGTCCCACAAGAGGAGACCCCCCCACACATGCCACCACCAGCCCAGCCCAGCCCTCGCCGGAGGGATGCCAGAGGAGCCGCAAGGAACCCGGCCTCGCCTGCGGGCTGGGGGGCTGCCCGAGCCCCGCGCTGCGCCAGAGCAGCATCCTACATGGCCAGGGGTGCTGGGGCTGGCACTCCAGGTGCTCCATCACCCCTCAGGGGCTCTGGGACGGGGAATTGGGGCTCCCTGTCCCCTGCATAGCCGCAGCAGAAGCAGAGATGTCCTTAGGGATTTTGGAGCCATCCCTGAGCTTTCCAGCCCAGAGGAGAGACTGTGGGGCTGGGGAGGCTGCACATGGGGACTGGGGGACATTGCGGGGACCAGAGGACGTCACGGGGCTGTGCAGTAAAGGCATGCCATCCTCCAACATGCCTCTCTGCTGCATCGCCCTGGGCCCCGAGCAGCCGGGGGGGGACTTGCTTCTACCCACTGCTCTGCCTGGACCCGCCGCATCCCCGTCCCTCCTCCTGGGCTGGGGACAACGGGCAGGGGGTGACGCACCCAGTGCTGGAGGGGAAGCTGGCATGGAGCTCCCACAGCTGGAGGGACATGGGACTGAGCCCACCCCGGGTCCCCCCACCCACAGCGATCCCCGCTGGGAATAACAGCGGCGACAGCAGCAGCCAGAGCCGGGGTTTACTGGTGAGCTGGGGGGCAGGTGGGGAGGGAGCGTGTCCAGGACCGTCCTTTGGTCACACAGTGCTGGGGGGTGGCAAGCGGGGGGGGCCGGGCCAGTCCCCCGTGGCAGCGTCCGTCTCCTCCGGCTGGTGGAGGTGGTGGCCTGGAGAGGGGACACAGGAAGGGGCTGTCTGCGGGAGGAACCCCCCCGCACGTGCCTGTGCACTCACACACACACACATATCTGCCAGTGACCTTGTCCCTGTCACCCTGTGCCCAGGGTCAGCATGCCCCGGAGGCAGCAGACCTGGCTGGAGATGTCCTGGGGGGATTTCTCCCAGCCAAGGACAGTCCCCAGCACCTGGAGGGGGACCCCAGTCTGGCTCCACTCTTAGTGGAGAAGCATCCACATCCCACCAGCACCAGGGCATGCCAGAGCTCTGCTGGCAGGAGAGGGCTTCGTGTTCCCCGCCCAACCCTGCCATCCCCGGCACCTACCGTGTGGGGATGTGGGGATGGCTGCCTAGGCTGGCAGCCCCTTGGAGAAGGCGTACATGCCAGGGAGGTAAAGCACATCCACTGACTTGCCAGCCTCCTCTACCGCCCTGCACTCCGCCTCGTCTCGGTGTTTGATCTCCTGCGGGGCAGAGCACACGGGCTGGCACCCACCACGGCACCACAAGGGTCCCAGCAGCCGGCGGGGACCCGTGCTGGTGCCTGGGAGACAGCTCACCTTCACCGCCAGGTGATGGCTGGGGCCGCAGTTCTGGTACTTGTCCAGCACCTTGGGGACATCACTGCTGTCAAACTTGTAGCAAGCCAGGCAGGTTGGCTTCCTCTGGGGAGAGAGCACAGCATGTCACCGCCCAGCCCCCCAGGGACCCCCAGCGGGTCCTGGCCAGCCCCCCGCCCTGCCAGGCCTGGGGACGTCCCTGCCACTCGCCATGGCATGGCAGGAGGGCAGCGCCAGGCACGGCCACGTCGCCACTGCCAGGAACTATCGTCACCTCCAGCCCTCCCCGGCACACACGGCAGCGTGGCGGAGGGCCGGGGCGGGTGGGGGGGTCTGGGGGAGGCAGAGGTGCCATGTCCCCATGGGATGTGGTACAAGGGAGGGGGACACGCTGTCCAGCAGCCCCGATTCACCCGGTTCTCCAGGGTCCTGCAGTTCTGCCGCCGCGGTGCCCTCTTCCCACAGGCCGTCTGCACCAGGTTGACGCGCAGCTGGACAAATGTCCCCGAGGGGTCTTCCTGGGGGGAGAGGGGGACAGCCCGTCAGCTGCAGGGGGGGACAGGGCAGCCGACGTGGGGCCAAGAGCTCGCACTGTGCTGCAGTTGGTGCGGAGAGGGGGAGCAGAGGGACCCCAACCCCTCGCAGCCCCGAGGGTAAATCCAGTCCCAGAGAACAACCTCTCTGGGACCCTACAAGGTGGCTCCCAACATGGGTGAGTGGCCCAAACTGGAGGGTCCCCGCAGCCCCCCAGCCCCTCCCAAGGAACAGGCACATCTGAGCCACCGCTGTCAGTGCTCCTGGCTACACCAGGGTGGCCAGGCACCAGCAGCCGCTTGCCCCATGGCCAGCTGTGTCACAGTTAATGAGTAGCTGAGCTCTGCCAGCCCCTGCCCGTAAGTCCCCGATGACCAGCCTGCCCACACTGTCCGTGTCGGCAGGTCCGTCCTCGCACCCAGCCTTCCCTCCTCCGGAACACCCTGGCACCCACTTCCCTCTGTGACACCCCGACCCCCTCCCCGCCTGCCCTGCCGACGCCAGGCCAGGGATTCGGCTGCCATCTCCCCCCTCTCCGCAGCAGCAGCAGCCCTCCCAGGGGGCCAAGGGTGCCCACAGCCCCTGGCGCTCACCCGCTCGACAGCCCCTTCCACTGCCTGCTCCTTGAAGAAGAACTGCACGTTGCTGCGGCTGTGGAAATATTCCAGCACTTCCTTCACCACCCGCCGCTGCAGCGGGGACTGGCTGGCGGTGGCCAGGGCCACCAAGCCCAGGCAGAGGGCTAGTGGGAACCTCATCCCTGCGGTGGGGGGCTGCCGGGGCTGCCTGACCCCAGAGAGCCTCGCCAATCGACCCGCTGGTGGTTTTGGTCTTTCATTAACTGATTTCCTGGGAACTGCCCTTTTTCCGCCCCCAGGCTGGCCCCGCAGGCTGCTTGCACGGCCCCCCGCCCCGGCACGGCCCCTCTGGCACGGCCGCGGGGAGGAGGGGCCGGACACAGCTACCGCCGGCGGCCGGCCGGCACGCGTACAGGCGGTGGGGATACCGGCGTCAACCCAGGAAAATGTGAGGCTCATCCGTAGCCTCCTGCCACCCGGGAAGGGGTGCCGAGGGGCCGGGAGGGGAGTGCATCTCCCACCTGGGACAGAAGAGCTGCTCGGGCTTGGTGCCGGCAGCCCTTGCCGGGCAGCTGACCATCACCACCACTGTCAGGGACCCCTGAAAGGCTTCTCCCCTGCCCGCCCTGCCCTGACACGGGGCGAGCCAGTGTGGCGGGGAGGGAGGTGGTGCTGCCCCGGGGGTGCTGGCTCTCCCCCAGCTGGGGTGGTGGGGCAAAAAGCCACACCAGACAAAAGAACGGCAGCCCATGTCTTGGGGGGGCAGCCAGGAGCGGCGGGCATGGGGGGGGG